GGCCCGGGGAGCTGTGTGTCATGCTCTGTGCCCCCCCAGGTATGTGCCGTCCCAAGCAGACGTGGCCGTGTTCGAAGCCGTGTCCGGCCCGCCGCCCGCCGACCTGTGCCATGCGCTGCGCTGGTACAACCACATCAAGTCCTACGAGAAGGAGAAGGCCAGGTAAAGCCGCCTGTGTGTGTACCTGAAGCTTTAAGGTGTTCACGGGGCGGGACCGGACCCAGGTGTGCTGGGGTGTTGTAAGCTCACTTCCTCTGCGACTTGAGAAAGAGGCTGCAGCCCTCGGTGTTCCCAGGTAGCCCGTGGGCGGCAGCAGCTCACCTTACCCCCACGCCGCCCCGCCCCGGGGGGACCCTCTCTGGGGTGAGAGGGTGGCTCCGGGGGTCGGGCCTGGGCCGTTCTTGTGAAATTCTCCCATTCTCCCTTCCTGTCTGAATTCGAGGTTACATGTGAACCTCTGCCGGCCAGGGTGGACGTCTGGGGACGGGGGCTCCAGTTCACTCGCGAACTGAGCACATTTAATGGAATCTCAAAACAGAAACACTCGTCCTGAAAGCGTAAACCAGCGGTTCTCAACCTGTGGGTCGCGACCCCCCTTGGGGGTCGAACGACCCTTTCACAGGGGGCGCCTGAGACCTTCGGAAAACACATGTATAATTATATATTGTTTTTGTGATTAATCACTATGCTTTAATTATGTTCAATTTGTAACAATGAAAATACATCCTGCATATCAGATATTTACATGACGATTCATAACAGTAGCAAAATTACAGTTATGAAGTAGCAACGAAAATAATTTCATGGTTGGGGGTCACCACAACATGAGGAACTGTATTAAAGGGTCGCGGCATTAGGAAGGTTGAGAGCCACTGGGTAAACGGTAGTGAGTACGGGATGTGCGGCCTCACGCTACCAGTGTTTGTTGGGTGAGGAGTTACAGCTCAGGGAAGCACTTACCTGGGAGTGTTCAGTGGGTCCTGCTGGTAAATAATGATGAAAACAAGGCCTCCTGTGTTTTCTGGAAAAAGAAGTTGTATCCCACATATAGTTACATTTAATTATTATTATTATTTTTTTAAGCCTGCCCGGAGTGAAGAAAGCTTTGGGCAAGTATGGCCCTGCTAACGTGGAAGACACCACGGGAAGCGGAGCTGCCGACAGCAAAGACGACGACGACGACATTGACCTCTTTGGGTCTGACGACGAGGAGGTATGGCACCAGTGGGTGTGAGTGCATCTTCGTGCTGAAGCGCAGGCTCTGTAGCCTCGTTGCCTGGGTTTGAATCCTGGCTTCACTGTATCGCTGGCTTTTACAAATTCTCGCTGGTTACGTGATGAATAAAATCAAATCACCATCTTTCGGCTGAACTTAAGCTCATGATGGATTTGCTTTTTTCTGATAAAGCTGGTATTTGTTGTGATGACCTCCCTATCTCTAACCTGAGGAACAACCAACTTTGTGAAATATATTACATTTTTTCTTTACAGGAAAGCGAAGAAGCAAAGAGGCTAAGAGAAGAACGCCTTGCACAGTATGAATCAAAGAAAGCCAAAAGTAGGTCATTTTATAATTGTCTTCATTTCATAATAGTGTGAATAAACTTCTTCAAAGATTAATCCCCAAAGTAATTTCCTCGTTTACTGACTAGGTCAGTATTTCAGAACTTTCTGTAGAACTTCCACAGCTACTGGTCTGCAGCTGTTCTCATGGTGGCAGTTGTGGCATTCCTCTGTGGGAAAGAAATTGTTACACGATTAAACACCTCTTTCTTAGCAAAACAGAAAGGGGGCATATGTGTGACAAACATGAGATGTATCCCATAGTTTTGTGTGGCTAAGGAGATGATTTTGAAAATCAAGATTTATTGTGGTCCAGCCGGCGTGGCTCCGTGGTTGAGCATTGACCTATGAACCAGGAGGACATGATTTGATTCCCAGTCAGGACATATGCCCGGGTTGCAGGCTCAATCCCCAGTATGGGACGTGCAGGAGGCAGTCAGTCAATGGTTCTTTCTCATTATGGATGTTTCTACCTCTATCTCCCTCCCTTCCTCTCTGAAATAAATAAAAATATATTTAAAAAAGAGATTTGTGTCTGGACTAGGGTAAAAAAGACATAATTAATGCTGTTTCTTATTTTTTTTTTAGAACCTGCACTTGTTGCCAAGTCTTCCATCTTATTAGATGTGAAACCTTGGGATGATGAGACAGACATGGCAAAACTAGAAGAATGTGTCAGGAGCATTCAAGCAGACGGCTTGGTCTGGGGCTCTTGTGAGTTCAACCTTTCTTAATTGAAATTGGCATCAGAAATTTACATAATTTCAACCGACGAACAGAACTTCTCTAAGATTTTTCTTAATGTTCTTTTCAGCTAAACTGGTTCCAGTGGGGTATGGAATTAAAAAGCTTCAAATACAGTGTGTAGTGGAAGACGATAAAGTTGGAACAGACATGCTGGAGGAGCAGATCACTGCTTTTGAGGACTATGTGCAGTCCATGGACATGGCTGCTTTCAACAAGATCTAAAATCCATCCTGAATCTGTGCCCTTAAATAAAAGCTTGAAAGAGAACCCTTGGTCTTGACTCTAATAGGAGGGTGGTACGGTTGTCCCTTATGAGTCTGGGGTGCTGAGCCCCCATGCCGCCGGAAGTTTGTGTTTAACTTTGTTCTTTTTTTTTTTCTTAAATTTTTTTCATTTTTATATGTATATAAATATGTTTTTGTTGATTTTAGAGAGAGAAACATTGATCAGCTGCCCCACACTCACTCTGATGGGATGGATCCCACGATCCAGGTATGTGCCCTGACCTGGAATCGAACAATGCTCAACTCACTAAGCCACACCGGCCAGGGCTAATGTTCTTAATATTAAGTTCCTAGTATCCCTAGGGGATTGGTCCCAGGGCTCCCTTGAATACTTAAGTTCCTTATAAAATGGTGTAAGACAAGGCATGCTTTTGGCCTCCTGTATCCACAGATGCAAAACCCAGAGGTACAGAAGACTTTTAGATTCTGCACGTAAGTGGACCCACACAGTTCAAGCTCATGTTTACGGGTCACTATATTCATTCCATTTTGAGAAATTCAGTGACTGTAATTCATAATATAAATTTGGGTCAGCATTAGTCCAAAAAAAAAGAGAAACTACCTGTTACATACACTATATAGGCAGGTGTTGTGTAGATTTTTATAAACTGATTTAAATGGACTTAATTTCAGTATAATTTCTGTACTCATTAGTGATGGCTTAAATTTTCATATTTGCTTTATTTTTAAGAGAAATCAGGAGCTAAAAATTTCAGTTGTGGAAATTTTGGGTTAAGAAATTAGCCCCAGCCAGGTCGGCGTGGCTCAGTGGTTCAGCTATGACAAATGAACCAGGAGGTCAGGGCACATGCCCAGGTTGCAGGCTCAATCCCCAGATAGGCGTGCAGGAGGCAGCCAATGAATGATTTTCTCTCACCATTGATCTCTCCTCCCTTCCTCTCTGAATTAAATATTTTTTAAAAAAAAGAAAAATTAGCCCCAGCCCTAGCCAATTTGGCTCAGTGGTGAGAATGTCAGCCCTTGTCCATAGTCTGATTCTGGTCAAGGGCACGAACCTCAGTTGCAGGCTAGATCCCCTTACCTCCAGGGTGAGTTCATCGAATCGATGTTTCTCTCGGTCTCTCCCCAGGCTATGGTTTGTTCAAAAGTCTGGCTTGGGGGTTGCGGTGGGTAGTGACTAAGGACGTTTATTTTTTGGAAATCTGATTGAACCTATTGGGCTAGGACTTCATACTCAGGTTAGTGCTGCAGGGAATGTACCGAGATGAAGGCATTATGTTAGGTGATTGTCCAATTCTGGTAACAGTTCCATCTTAGTTAATTTGGGATGTATGTAACATTTGATTTTTTTTACAATTTTTAAAAGTAGAGCTTGGAAATTGCTGACCTCTAAAGTCCCTGTAGACCAGTGGTTCTCAACCTTGGCTGCACATTAGAATCACCAGGGAATTTTTAAAATCCTGATTTCTGGGCCTCATCCTCCGGAAATTCTGTTTCTTTGTTACTAATGTTGTGGCCCCGCCCCATAACAAAGAAACAGAATTTCTGGAGGATGAGGCCCAGAAATCAGGATTTTAAAAATTCCCTGGTGATTCTAATGTGCAGCCAAGGTTGAGAACCACTGTAGACCAAAGAGATTAAATGATTTGAGGTCAAAAGTTTCCTAGCAGACCCAGACAATGCTGTTCTTTTCCTCCCTCTCCATCTGGTTTTATGTGTGACTAACTTGAGTGTGGAAAATTGTTTAAGTTCTAGAGAAAAATTATTTAATTGGCCATGTACATACTGATGATTGAAATGATCTTCACTAAGCAATTAAGTCCAACAGACCCACTCTAAAATCACGGGGCAGGCAAGGGGATGGGAAGAGATTAACCAAAGAAACCATGGACACAGACAGTGAAGGCTTGGGGGGAGCAGGGGAGGGGATTAATGGGAGCAGAAGGGGGGGGACATCTGTAATACTTTAAACAATAAAGATAAGAAGCTGAATCCTAGATTGTATTCTCTTTTCACCCTTCCATTTTTTCTGCCCCAGTCCTTTTCCCTGCCTACCTCCAGTGCTCAAGAGTGAACTGCATGTACCATTTTCTGGGGAATCTGATCATACTGAGACGGTATTTGGGCTGGAGAATGGCACTGGGGTTTAGTTTAGTTTAATCTTGTGCTCTATTCTGCAGGTGTGGTGGGAGGTGCCTTTAATGCAGTGATAAGCTATCTTCAAGGAGGTGGTGTGTGTGGAAAATTCCCAAGGCTGCAATTGAACCTGGGGGGGCCCGTTGGAGTTAGAACTGATGGAGAAGTGGGAGGGAGGATCATTTGGGGTCTATTTTGCACCTTTGGTGATGGGATTAGGAATCTATTTGGTGTAAGGAACTTAAACTTCCTTGCACATCTCCCTTCATCTAAGTTGGCAAAACCACACCCTGGTTAAATCCACTTTTCTGTCTCCTGCATACGTGCACTTATGCAGCTGAACTTAGGGAAGCACAGCCACGGACGCCACCAGAATCGCTCTTAATTCGTGAATTAAATTCCAAGTGGGTTTCAGTGCTGGTGGGGATCAAACCACCTCACATTCCCCGAGGCTTTGTCTTCAAACCTCCTCCACACGCACCCTGAGTTTCCCCACAAACCAGCTCTTGCCTAGTCAATATTCGCACCCCTTTACCCAAGACAACCACTGGGTGAAGACAGACACATACTTCAGCTTGCTCTGTGTGAGCGGAATCAACCAGCATGCACTCGAGTCGGCTTCTTTTGTTCAACATAATGAACCTAATCCATAGTCCTGTATGTGTTAATAGTTCATTACTTTTTCTGTCTGAGTAGTAGTTCCTGTGTGACCATGTCACATGTATGTAACTTGCCTGTTAATGGGCATTCAGATTATTTCCAATTGGGGGATTATGTTTGTATAGATTTAAAAAAATAAAATCACTGGACACATTTTCAGGTTGTCAGTATCATGAGAGCCAGCAGAGGGCAGTCTTTCATTTTCTGGAGACAACCTATGGATCCTGGAAATGCTGCCATGGAGAGATGCACTAGTAACTAGTGAATAGCAGCCAAAAAACAATTTAGTCATTGACATATTCAAGGGATTGGTACTAAATAGCTTGACCAAAACATTAAGTTTTAACAAATATTAATGATAAACTAATGATGGAAAATTTGGTTAAAAGTAAAAGGAGTTTAAAAATTTAGAATAGTGAGTTGAAGCCAGAGCTGTCTTGTAAATCTTAAAAAGATAACGGATGAAATGTGACCAAAATATGACTCCACAGCCTTGAATGAGAAATATATTTAATAGTATCTTTTAATTTCATGTTTTACAAAATAGATAATACATTAACATAGTTCAAAATTCAAGAGGTTAAATATGAAATCGCCCATCTTCTAGGCCTCCCGTTCACTTCCATAAAAGCAACCAACATCACCAGGTTCTTAGGTCTTTCCAGAGCTAGGCTAGGCAAACTCATGGACTAACTGCAGCATGCAACCCAAACCGTGTGTACTTTGCATTTTGTCCATAGAAATAGGTATCTTGGAGTTCATCTGTATCTTGGATATTCATGTCAGTACATAAAAATCATCTCCATTTTTAAGTTACATAACCCATTGTTTCATATCTTATGTAACCAGGCTATTTATTAGATTTTTAAATTGCTTTCAATTTTTTTGATATTTATAAGCAATGCTCACATTTGCATGTGAGCCAGGATACTGAATGAACTGTTTTTGAACCCATTGTTTCAGAGGGCCTAAGTATATGTAGACAACGAGATTTTTTTTTCCTGTTTGTCTTTGGAGTGGAAGACAGGAAAAATTAGAGGTCACCTCTTTTTGCATGCCCCATAGGTGATTACAATAACAAATCGTGTTATTGTGATCAGCATCCCCAGCGCAGGGCTGGGTACAGTGTGGGAGGGAATTAAACATGATTCACTCAGCATCACTGTTAAGCTGCTATAAAAATACAAAGAATTGAAGAAAATTACTATGGGGAGGTGGTTCAAACACATAACAATTTTAAAAAGTATAAAAGTCATTTTGTGATTTAAGCAAGCAATCCAAAAGTTCAGAAAGTCAGGGAAAGCTAGAATTAAGAAAACATTTTTAGAGAAATTGGGGCTTAAACTGGATAGACTGATCAGTTTGTGAAAAAAGAGAAAGAATGTTCCAGAGAGAGAGAATGTTCCAGGAGGGTGTGAAAGGCAGAATGATAGATAGACATCTGGGAGGCAATTCAACCAGTTTGGCTGTGTTTTGCAGTGTGTGGAATTATATAGGGTGGGGCCAGGTTGTAGAGGCATTTGTATTAGATGCTGGCTCATTCACGGGGAGCCAGAGAATGACAAAATAAAGGCAGAGCTCTGATCTGGACATGGTGTGGATGGAAGCAGATACATAAAAGGACTGTTATAATCCTAACATAAATGAAAATGACTGCATGTGGCATATATACTCAGTGAAATATTCTATAAGCTTAATAGAATTACTTCTAAAAATAATGGACACTATAGCAACATGGAAAATGCTGGATTTTTCATTGACTATTTTTATCAAAGATAAGCTTATAGACAAAGACCCAAATACAAAAAGAGTTGCATTTGTGTTTTGAGACATATGTATAATCCCCCCCCCCCGCCACCCCCGCAAAAAAAAAAAATAAAGACAAATACAATTTGGCAATGGCAATTATTGTCCTTAGGATGAAAAGGTTAAAAAAAAATACACGCCTCATATACATTGTCTAATTTGAACTTCATAATAAGCCAAGGAGATAAACAAGGCAGGCACCGTTATCACCATTTATAGGTTAGAGGGAGTACTGAAAGACAACTTGCCTGATTACTCATCTAGTGAGAGGTCTTCAGAGTCCACTAATGTGTTGGTAATAGAATGGGGAAAGTTCTTCATCCCTGCTTTTATACAATTTAATCCCATTTCATCAGTGTAACCCTTGCTTCATACCCTCAGGGAGAGTGAGAAGATATCACTTAAGGGTAAAGTTAAATT